TATTCTCATTTAAAACTGCACATCATGGCATGTATCTTTGTCTGGGGACCACCTGTTGAAGGAAGCAGCCATCTGTACACAAAGTCATAAATGATCACATTCAGTCCATGTTAAAACATGGCCATACATGTTTAACAAAACATCATGCTCCCTGGATCATGGCTGTCCTATGCCAATGGAACCAGAAATGAATCCTGTAAAGCTCTAATGTGAAGACCCAAGGGCCTTTGCAGATACTGTTCTCTCTGCCCAGAATGCTCACTTTACATATGGCTAGTCTTCATCTTCAGATCTCTGCCCAAAAGTCACCTCTTCAGAGATGCCTTCCCTGAATGCTCTTTCTACAGGAGGTAGCTCCCACCCTTACTTCTCTATCTCTGCACCACATCCATTTCTTCCATAGAACTTACTATATGTAATTTGGGGAGGGGGGTTGTATATGTAACTTATTTCACTAGACCCAAGTAATTGGGAAACTCCCCAACCTCTAGAATTCTGAGTATATGAACTGATAAAGCCCCTGTAGTGTTTAAGCCAATTTCAGCTGAATTTTCTGATATTATAGCTGATTTTACAGCTAAAATCTTCCTAACAAATATTTCTCCTCTTTATAGTATTACTACTATTATCTTCCCTGAGATTATCTGTATAAATTAAAAATCCACTATGTGCCAGGCACTGCGTTAGGTACTTTATTTCATTTAATCTTCACAATAACTCTGAAAATTAGCAATTATTTAATGCTACCATATGAGTGAGGAAATTGAAGCCCAAAATGTGTAATTAACATCGTTGGCTCTGAATTCCTTCCTTTGGTGAACTGTCCTCCCACATTCTGTGTGATTCCATGTCATTCAAATATACTGCAAGGTGGGTATATGATCCAGGCTGGCCAATAAGAGCACTTCTCCACCCAGACTCTGTGATGGGCCAGAAGGAGACACATGACCCAAACAAAGACAATCACAGTCCTTCCTTGTTACATAAATGCTAGGACATTAAGACCTATCTGGTTGGGGGATCATACTCTCAAATAACATCATAACCCTGCTTTGGCCAGGAGCTATCTTGCTGCCATGTGGAGAGGGCATGCTAAGAATAAAGCCTCATCCAAGGAGAGTGAGTGAAAAGGAGGCCAGTGAGATCCCTTGAACTCCTGGATCCAACTGTGCCTGAGAAACACACCTGGGCTTCTCGGTTCCATGAAGCAGTAAATTAGTCATTACTTAGCATGGTCTGAGTGGATTTCTGTCATTTGCTACTGAACAAAGATGGAGAGAGCATTATGTAGAAGTTAAATACACATTAGTTCTCTCAACTTTTCCTCCTTAAAGTGACCACTGCCCATTAACCCCACAACAGTTGACAACATGTCAGCTGCTGCCACTACAAGCAACCCTATTTTTTCACTATGCTTACTATGTCACATTTGGTCCAGCCTCTAGGCCACGCACAGGCTGTTCTTTCTGCCTGGATAGAGAATTATGTCTTTTCCAAGGTCCACACTTCTAAGCAAATATACTCCACAAATGACCTACAGCGCCTCTACCTGCAAATGACTGCCCATTTGCTAGTGGGGGCAGGGGCTATAGTAAGAATTAAAAGCCCACAGGTCTTTAAATGTCCTATTTTAAGTCAGTGAATATTGCCCTGCCAAGAAAGGACTATTGTTTCTCATTCATATTGAGTTTTATATTCAAGGTAACTTCATAGAATTTCTCTCATTCCTTCTTTTTCGTACCCCTGTTAGAGTTGGGTAAGAGGGCAATGAATACACCCATTAGACAGATGAGAAAGCTGAGTTCCAAAAAGGTGTAGCAACTTAACTCAATTGCAATTATCAAGTCCAGACTGAACTTGGAATTCTTCCCACCTCGGCCCAACCTGAGAGGCACCAACATGTTCTAATTTGGCAAGCCACAATTATAAGCATCCATTCCCCAACCTCCTACCATACCCAGCACCCGGTCAATTTGAACAACTAAGCCCTATCAGGTTAGGTTACCAGATAGTATACAGTATGCCCAGCTAAATTTGAATTTCAGACAAATTTTTTTTTTTAGTATAAGCATGACCCAAATATTGTCTGGAACACACTTATACTGAAAAATTATTCATAGTATATGTGAAGTTCAAAGGTAACTAGGCATTCTATAGTTTTATTTGCTAAATATGGCAATGCTACATCAGATGTTCTTCCAGTAAACTAGAAAAGGGGTGCAAGTTGTAATTTATTTGGAAAGTCAGACTTTTCTGGCATGGATCCTATAACACTACTATTCTGTGCACAGCATCACTCTCTAATATTTGATACTAGGGTAGGGTTTGATGTCACTTGATATTATGGCCAGGATCCAGGAACTCTTCAGTCTTGTTCTATGATGCACCTCTCCTTCCAAGAGCTTTGTGGAGGGTCTATTTGCACAAGAAACAGTGGCAAAATGGGACTTAAGATACTATGTCATTCTAGGCAGAGCCGCGAGTGGCCTTCCCCATTAGGAAATCATGACCCACTGATCTTGGACTCTGATTAATCCCAATCAGATTAGCAACTTCCTGCCCTTGGGATAGAAGGGAGTGCCTAGGGAAAGGGCAGGCACGGGAAACTGCAATGTGGGGGAAAAGCGTGGCTGAGTGTTAGCCTTTGATGACGTCTAGAGTTCAGAACTAAGGAACCTGGTGAGTAGTCTCTGTTGGAAACCAAGACTGAGAACATGTAAATTTGGAAGCTATGGGATAAGCCAAGGTAGGTTCCATAATCAGGGAGGAGAAAGCCAGAGTATAAAAGGAGAAGAAAGCTGATACGCAAAGAGAAGCAGAATAGAGGGTATACTGTCCTCTTCAATCCACCACTCCAATTCTTAATTCCAGCTGCACTGCAAGCTGCATTTCCTCTTCTGAGAACTTCGAATAAATTCCCTTTTGTGCTTAAGCTCATTTGGGTAGGTGTCTGTTACTTATATTGATTCTGTCACTTACTTGACTAAGAAAAACCACCAAATAAAGAAGCAAGCTCTCTGGTTCAGTTCATTGCAATTTATTTAATTTAAAAATAAAAACAGAAACAAAACCCGAAATGAAACAAAAATCAGTTTCCAATAAAAATACAAACACTTTGGGTAGTTATCCAGCTTTTTTTTCCCCTGTAGGCTGTTCTGGGCTCAAACCAATCAAATGAGTGAAAACCAATTTTGACAGGAGCCATAAAGCATGTTGCACCAATTAAATTACACCAATATATTATTATAATACCTTTGAAATGCCTTTCAGACCAATAAATAAAAAAGACAAATTCAAATAAAAAAAGTCAACTTTTTATTACCAAAAAAAAAAAAAAAATAGAAATTAAATAAAAGTCACAACGTGGATTTTTTTTTTTTTTTTTTTTTTTAATGTGCAGTCAAGTTTCTCTCTTTTTTTCTTCTAGGAATGATACCATGCCAGTAAATCCCTACAGAACATTTCCAGTTTGGCAACAAGCAGTCAGTCGATCATTCACATTTGTACTCAAGACAGCAGGCCTGGGCAAAACTTGCCTGAATTTCACCCTGAAAAGTGCTCCCCATCATCTGAAGAAGCAGCACCTGGTAACAGGGATGGCAATTCAGAGGGTACTTAGCATTTTCATTTCACCTGGGGTCTTGAAGCACTTCCTGAAAACTGATCGTGCCTTGAAATTTACCTGTAAAAAGAAGTGTAATTCTACCCCTTTGGCAGATGTGTAAACTAAGACGGTGCAAGGCCCACGGAAGCAAGGAGAGGACCAGGAAAGCTGACAGCGAATCTCCTGCTTTGTCCATCAGGTCCTAAAAGTGTCTCTCACTTGTAATTCCACGGAAGTGAATAAAGCATAACTTCTTTGACTGGGATTGGCTGGTAGGGATGACAGGACTTAATGATGAAGCAGGGAGCTGCTTTAACGGCTTTTCCCTCTATTGCAAGTTTTTCCTTGAAAAGACAGTCAACATCACACCTAGAATCAGAGGATGTTGGCAGTGTCAGAGCTAAGCAGGGCTTCAGGGACCAGCTAATTCATCCTTCCAGCCCTCACTGGAAGGAAAACTTAACCACCACAAACAATGCAGATGCCTAAGGCCACCTATGACTTAACTCAGAGTCTCTGCCTCTGAGTGGAGGATTTTCTCTGCCACAGTCCACTGGCTGAGTTTCCTGACGAAAGAGAACACGTGTTTGGGGGGAGGAAGAAGGGAGTAGACTGACTTTCCTCAATAGTGTCATTTTTATTTAAACACTAGAATGATGGAAAATACTAAACAGACTCAATCACTTGGCAAAAGGAAAAAGGACATCAACCAGTAGGTTGGTGCTAGATCTAAGTCATACTGACAGCTAAGGACACGGCCAGCTGCCGTGCGCAAGGGGCCAGCAGGGCAGCAGCATAGGCTATTTAGAAAAGCCAGAATGAAATGAGGCAGGAAGTAGGGAGCTCAGAGTTGCAGGTTGCCCTCCATGCACCCACACCCCCATCCCCCCCGCCCCCCACACACACACAATTTGCTATCTACAGATTTTTTTTTTTTCCCCTTTTAACCTCTATTAGAGTTCAGGAAGGAGGTGGAATTGAATGAAAGGAAACTGAGCAGCTTCCCATAACACACTGCTCAGCTCAACCTGAAGGAATGCACAAGCCAAAACACCAGAGCCGGTGGCAAGGGGAGAAACCAAACTGTCTCCTTAAGGAAAGGGCAATTCCATTCTGATGCACTTTCTTAGCACTGTAAGGTGAATTTTTTCTTCTCTCTCTACGAACTATTTTTTGTTGGTTTTTCCAAAGATGTTCCCAAGACCAGTCTTCCTGTCTATCTACATGGCTACCAGTGGTGGCCATCTTGAAATGAGTTCAATTTGCCTTGGCCAGCAGAATCTGAAGTCATCCCAAAGAGACCAGGAAGTCCAAACCTAGAATCCTGAAGGTGTCCCATGGTTGAAGTGGCATCTTGTCATTGTGATCCGTGTGTTTAGAAATTACATATCTAATGTTTTTTTCTTTTTTTTTTTCTTTTTCTTTTTAAGATAAGAGTCCTGCCGCACCTCTTTTCTACCTCCCCCAGAACCATCTGGGTGACATCTAAGGAAATGTTCACTCTCTTACATGCTTCCTCCCAACCCCCTGCACTCTTTCAACACCTTATTCATTTAAATGAATGGAACTTTCTTTTCCCCCAAAGCCCAGGAGTTCATGTCAAAGTTTAAAACCATGACATAGAATACTTAGATTTGGGGGAAAAAAGCACCGTCTACCTGATTTTCCTTTTCTCATCCCAATATCCCACCTACATCTAACTCCCTAGAAGCAAACTTATCTACCTCTGAGGATGCTACACTCAGTGGATGGGGAAACAAACCATTTGTCATTGGTGAACAGAGCCAATGGTTGAGCCAGGTAATCCTCTGGAAACTATGGACAGTAGCACGTCCAACTCAAAGCATCCATGCATGTGAGAACCCAAGAGGCAGCATTCCAGTTAATATTGAGAAAGAAAGTGACAAGTTGCCTCTTATTGGTGCACATCAACTTCCATTCATCTGTGCAAAGATCACAGACCATCTTGTGCCCTGTCATATACAATAGTTTTTACCTCTGACACCATCATCTTTCTCCCTGTCCACACTCAAGAGGTTGTGCTGTAGAGCAAGGCAGACATCAGGAAAGAGGAGGTGAACAGCAAGGAGCTAAATCACCATGGGCTGACTCTATGTCCTTAGCAGAGTTCAGAGTGTTCTCTCTCTGACCAAGGCCCTGTATTTCCTCAAAGTTGAGTAGCAAATTAACAAATGCCTCACCAGTGGATGAAAGAGTTAACATAGATCCCACAGGATGACTAAACCCAATTCCGAGGGCCCAGCCAGATCAAAGATAACAACTACATAGCATTAGTGCTACTGCTTCCCTTCCCTTTCCCGTGGTAGCCATTACTAGTCAATCACAGCCCTCCTTCCCCATGATGTGGGTCACTCACACCAGCACAACCGGCAGCCACTATTAATTGATCATCAACTCAAGCTCAAGTTGCTGAAATCTACTTGCCAGCTCCATGCAGCCAGACCTAGCTTGCTAATGCAAGGAGAAAAGGGGCAAGTTCTTCGGGCTCACCCAAGGCAAACAGCCCAAGTGTCTCCTGCCCCTCCTCCAGAAGCATTTGGATAACTTCTAAGGAAATGCTCCCTCCCCATATGCTTCCTCTCTACCCACTGAGTGCCAGTCAACACCACCTCTCCTGGACAGCTGGTCCTCTAGGAGGTGCCATAAAGCAAATGCCAAATAGGGCCCAAATTCTGACTGACAGTTGTCAGAACTGGCAGAAGAGCCCACCCCTCCCTTTTAAGTGTTGGCTCAAGGCTGCAAACTTGGCCAAGTGAGACAGTGCCAATCCTTTTTCAGTCTGTTGTCATGGCCAGCAAAGAGGTAACCAGCCTATGAGCCCAAGTCTTGCTCCCCTTCCTCCCTCGTACCCCCACCTGCCCCCGGCATCCTGGAGTGCTAGTTGAGCTTGCTGCAGATCTCTAGCGCTTGCTTGTAGACCTGAGTCACATCATCCATGTCTGCGAGGAGGGAGAAGCTGCTGTCTGCCAACCGGTTCCGGTACCGCTTCAGGTACTGGGGCCGGGGCCGGTTCTGGAGCCCCTCAAAGTCCTGGATCTGGAGGAAGTTTTCTGCAGAGACGCAGCTGCGGATGCGCTGGCGGGCAGGGCGATTCTCCTGCAAATCCAGCAAGTCGAAAGAGTCGCTGGACAGCACGCTGTCATCGCTGATGACACTGGAAGGACGGCTGTAGCTCCGGGAAAGGCCCTCGGCAGGGACACCAGGCTCTGACAGGGATTCCAGTGTGGGCATTTCAGGGCTGACCAGGGCCGGGTCCATGGCGCCCGCTGAGTATTTGCTGCTGTGTTTCAAGATGCCCTTCCTCCGGCAGGAGAGGCTGTGGGAGGTCACCCTGGCTGGGTCTGGGGGGCTGGGGGAGGGGACGCTGCTGCCCATCACATCATTACTGTCCAACAGCTCCGAAGACTCGCTGCGCTCTGGGGAAGAGTAGTAACCTGATTCTCTCTGCTGGGTCTTTTTCAAGATGCCTTTCTTGGGCATTGTGGCCGACTGCTTGGGGCTGAGTTTTCCCGGCACCTCTGCCTCTGGTGAGCTTGGGAGGAGCACACCAGTCCTGCATAAGTCCTGCTCCATCTTGAAAGTAGAGGGTAAGGCAGGACCAACTACACCTTCAATGAAGCCAGTGCTGTGAGAGCGATGCTCGCTGTTGCTTCGCTTCTTCAGGATCCCCTTGGGCCTCTTAGAACTCAACTTGGATGGGCTTTCAGGCACTGCATCCAGACCAGACTGAGCAAAGTCATTCTCTTTCTTGGATTTCTTCAGCGACCGCTGCCGCTCTAGCATGACCTCAGAGGTCGTGGGTTTGACCAGGCCCTTCATTTTGGCTTCGGTGTCAGCCTGCAGCCCCGTGGAACGGTGGTGCCAGTCAATGATCCGAGCCAGGAGTGGGGACTCAGAGTCATGGAGGGCATCGCAGTCACACACGCTGCTCTTATAGCCCCAGTTCACCCACCAGTGGTTGGCAATGTCCTCAATAGTGGCCCGGCGATCGGGGTTCACCATCAGCATCCACCGTATGAGTCCTCGAGCATCTAAGGGACAAGGGACAAAAAGAATCGGGCATTACGTGGGAGCTTCTAGCTTTGTGATAGTGGGACCCTCCAGCAGTGATGAAAGACACACACTCCCTCTAGGAAAAATCCATTTGGAGACCTGGTCCAGTCACATTATGGAGCAGGATGCCCCAGCCTTTCAGACCATCCATCAAAAGCGTAATCAAGACTTGGAACAGGCCGGGGTGCCATCACATGGTGGCATGTTTTCCCTATAAGTGAGGAAATGTCATAGAGCTATGAAGCTTTTCATCATCTTGAATCTTTAGAAAATGTGGAAGGTCAGGTAATCAAGAAAGAATCCAGACTTGACCCCGAGAGGTGCCCCACCATTCCTTTGGCGAATATCATTTTACCAAAGGAAAAACAGGTGTAGATCACCATTGCTTTCTTTATTCCTCCACAGGTGGGCTTGTATAAACACACAGCACCTGCAGTCACTGGGCAAGCATGCCAGAGACAGAACATGGAGTGTGGCTCAGAGGCACTTACCTGACACACCTGGGCAGTAAGAGCAGCTGTCTCCGAAACTGGCCTCCCCCCAAGGTCCTGGCCAGGTTCTGAGACCAATACTCAGTGAGCTCGCCTTCTTTCCCTCTCTGACATAAGCCTTCTCCTACTGAGCTGTCAGATCAGAGAAGTGATCTATATCTGCTACCCATTCACAGCCTGTCTGAAAATTCTACTTGCAAATTTCTGCTGCCAGACAATTAGGGAAAACCCCTAAAGGGATGCTGAGAAGGCCACAGGAACCAACTGACTCTCACAGCTTATCAACTGACTTTTAGGTTCAAACTGTGTTCCCCCAATTGGGGTGAATTATATTCTGGGAAGCTGCCACCTCCCCTCAGCTGCTTATATAGGTGAATGAGAAGCTGGCAAAGGCCTGGTAAAAGGGACTGGGGCAAGAAACACCTCTGAAAAGTACCAAGATGATCATCCTCAGTCATTCAATAAGTATTTCTTGAACCCCTACAATGTGCCAGGAACCGCATTGACATCAGTTAGCTGGTGAGGCAAAGAAGACCACTTTAGAGGTCACTCTGAATTTTTCCAAAAAGAATAGGCTGGCTTGTTGAAAAAATTATATATATATATAGAGAGAGAGAGAATGCATATCTATATATATACACATACAACAGTCTAGCCTCAGTATCCATAGGGTCTGTATTTGCAAATTTGTCTACTCGCTAAAATTTATTTGTAACCTCAAAATCAATATTCACAGCTCTTTTGCAGTCATTTTTGCATATGCACAGAGCAGCAAACAATTAGAGTCACCCCACCCAACACACGTATGTATTCACAGCTAAGGTCAAACAAGGCAACACTCTGCCTTCTTATTTCAGATCTCATACTATTATACAAAGTGTCTTTTTCTCAGTCTATTTAGTGCTGTGTTTCTCACACTTTTTGGAATTTTTATTGGCGATTCCTCCATTTTAAATGACCCCCCAAAACAGTGCTGAAGCACTGTTTAGTGTTCCTAGCACAAGAAGGCTGTGATGTGCCTTATGGAGAAGATAAGTGTGTTAGATCAGCTTTGTTCAGGCATGAGTTACAGTGCTGTTGGCTGTTGAGTTTGATGTTAATGAACTAATAATATAGATTAAATAAGGTGTCTTTAAACAGAGACACACATAAAACAAGGTTATATATCAATCAGTTGACAAAAATATTGTGAGCAGAGGCTCTCAGGAATCTAACCCTCTATTTCCCCTAGGAGCAATAGTTCAGTATTCACAAATTCAGTGTTTCTAGCAACTTTGTAGAACATAACTACTATGAATAATGAGAATCAACTGTGTATGTGCAGATATACAGATATACATATATATGTGTGTGTATATATATGCATGTGTATAGTATGTATATAAATGAAGTGCCAATGTTAACTTCATTTTTTAACAAAAATGACCAATGATGACCAGCTGTACACACTCCCTGTACAGGCATGATACTTCCCATCAAGAGATGGAGCTCATGACTGTGGTTGTCTTGACCAACAGAACACAGCAGATATGACACAATCTGGGTACAAGCGTGGACATAGCACTGGCACTCCAGCCTGGGCAACAGAGCAAGACACTGTCTCAAGAAAAACAAATTTTAAAAAAAGAAAGAAGGCTCAGCAACTTTTTATTCCTCTTTCTTAGAACCCCTTGCTGCCACTGTGGGGTGGCACCTCAGAGGGCACCGAGGAAGGTCCACTCTTCAGCCCCAGCAGCAGCCCCAGCTGCCATCTGCTTACAACTGTAGGGAAAACCCCAAGGAAGGCCAGAAGAGCACCTCCCAACCCACAGGAGTGAAAGAGATGATTTCAAGGTTGTGTAAACCACTGAGTTTGTTTTGTGGGGGCAGATGGGGTAGAGTTGTTATGCAGAAATTACTAATGAGATAGTGCCCATGAGCCATACCCTATGCCAGTGGCACAGGAGTGAGAGACAGAGCAGTGGCCACCCTCACAGTATTTACATTCTGAGGTGGGTGGTTTCTATGTCTACTCAGACTGGGAGAGACCTCGTCTAATACCTTTTCCAAAATTTGTATTTATGGTGGAGAATCTGAATCCAAAGAGCTTAAGTGACTTGCCCAGATCCACACAGCAAGCAAACAGGACTCCTAGAATGTGCGCTCTGAAAAGTTCCTTTGGGAAGGTTTGGGGAAAGCAGCCTAACAAGCAAGCTTTGCCAAGGATGATGCTTCTGGGAAGAAGAAAGAGGAAAACCAGGAGACTCCAGACAGACATACTAAAACAAACGCAGAAAATGAGAGTGGGTAAACAGGTCTCTCTCCCCTCCACCTCTGGCCCTCCCTCCACAGGGCACGCACCTGAGGGCTGCGTGGGCTCCCGGTACTCTCCACTGCTGATCTGCCGAATGAGGTTTTTGTGATCGAAACCATCGAAGGGCATTGTTCCATAAACAAGGGTGTAAAGCAACACGCCCAGGGCCCAGCTGTCCACCTGAAGCAGAGAGACAGCACATATAGGAGCTGGGAAACAGATCCCAAGGTGCCTTCCAAACCATTAGCATCACAGCCTGTGAGCAGCCACCCCCAATGCCCCCAGGAACTAAATTTAGCACCTGGAAGACAGGTTCCCAGTACAGCCTGACATCTGACAGCAATGCAGCTGGGACCTGCTACAGAGCCTGACCTTTCCATTCTGAACAGAGGCCAGTGGTCCCAATTGGTAAAGTACTTTCTTAAACAGATTATCTTATTTAATCCTCACTACAATTTTATGAAGCAGTTAGGGCCAGGACTATTTTCAGCCCCATTTGACAGATGAGAATACTGAGGCAGGAAGAACCTAAATGGTTTCTCCAGAGGCCCTGCCCCAGTGATGGAGGTAAAACTGGGATGTGGGGCTCTTCATTCCTAATCCAGGAATCAATTCCTTCCTGCACTTTCTTCAAATGAATCAGGAATTACAAACTGAAATCTTGTAAGAGCCAAGCAAACAACAGATATACACAAAGCAAGAAAGAATTGGGGTTACGACATAGAGTGTTGGGGATGGAGACAAACTGTACAGTACATTCACCCGTCTTAGGCAGACAACCTCTGTTTAGCTAATTGCTGCCATGTAGTAATGTGGGCCCAGCACTACTAGATTCTTTGGTTTTTCAAGAGAAGTCAGAAACCAAACTTTTATATGAAATCTCCTAATTATTACATGTTTGCTCAATTTTTAAAAATAAAAACTAAGGTGGCCAAATAAAGGAGTTTGCTGACCAGATCACAGGCTGCCAGCCTGTAACCTCAAAAAACAGGTCATCAAAGACCAAAATATTCATTATCTACGAGAAATTTAGTGTTGAGTTTGTACAAGTTTGTAAATTGAGTTCTATGCTCCTCCCTCGCATTCTTATTTTAGAAAGACTTTCTCTTCATTGCAGTTGATAGATGGTCTTGGCATCCTTCTCTTTACCCTTCAGCCCTGCCCCAAAACACTCTCAAACAGATAAATATTTAAAAGAAAACATTTCAACACACTGAGCAGCGGCTATTTAAAGGATACTGAGTGGATGAACTTCTCTGAAAAGAGAACCATCTTTCAAAAAGAGAATCATCACGCACAACTCACTCATTTTCAAAATAAAATTTCCACATACCCATATCTTACAGTGGCCCTTGAAACACTAGCATGTAGGGAAATGTATTTCTCATGAATTAGAAGATGTCATTAAAATGTATTTCCTTAGTCAGATATGCATGCTGCCAAAAATATATACAAAAAAAAGATATTTACTCCAGCGTGAGGCAATTTTTTGTTTTTTGTGTCTGTTTTGATATAATAGGGAAAAAACTAAATGTTCACATCTAGACATTACTAAATAAATTATGCTATATTCATCAATAAAATGTCATTAAAATCATGTGGGTTTTTTGTGTTTTTTTTTTGTTTTTTTTTTGAGACAGAGTCTCGCTCTGTCGCCCAGGCTGGAGTGCAATGGCACGATCTCCGCTCACTGCAAGCTCCGCCTCCCGGGTTCACGCCATTCTCCTGCCTCAGCCTCCCGAGTAGCTGGGACTACAAGTGCCTGCCACCACGCCCGGCTAATTTTTTTGTATTTTTTAGTAGAGACGGGGTTTCACCATGGTAGCCAGAATGGTCTCGATCTCCTGACCTCGTGATCTGCCTGCCTCGGCCTCCCAAAATGCTGGGATCACAGGCATGAGCCACCATGCCTGGCTGAAAATCATGTTTTTAATAATGAATTTGGAAAGTGTCACAAGATAGTTTTGATAGTAAAGGGCAAGATATACATATGTGTGTCATATACATATGTATATCTTGCCTTTTATTAACTTAATCTCAATTAGTTTTGAAATGCAGAGATCTACATTGGGAAAAGTTTAAAAGTCACAAAAGTATTAAGTGATTCTCTTTTGTGGGGGGATGGCAGGTACCTTTATTTTCTCCTTTAGGCTTTTCTGGGTTTTCCAAATTTCCTCCCAGGAGTATATATTATTGCTTTTATAATCATATAAGGAAAAGTTTTCCTTGCTTGCTTTTTTAGGCTCTGTTTTTTTAAGCATTTCTCAAATCCAATTTTTGCCCTTCCTCCCTTTTCTCCCTCCCCTCCCCCGCCCCATATGCATCGGGCAAGCTGCTCACCTCTGGCCCTCGGTAAGGTCTCCCATTGACAATCTCAGGAGATGCATAGAGTGGACTCCCACAAAACGTTTGTAAGAACTTATCCTTCTGGTACAGGTTGGAAAGCCCAAAGTCAGCAATCTACAAAGAGAAGCAAGACCCAGGGAGACTTGTTAGCATTCCAGATTATGTCTGTGTTGAATCAGTTCACACCACACAGCACACAGAGTGGATGAACAGCACCTGGGTTGGTCTGCTGGCTGGATTGCCATTTTCTCTCCAGCCCTGAGTCTTCATAAAGGACCACTCAGCCCAAGCAGGTCCGTGTTTCCTAGCTGCAGTCCTTGGCATCCATCACAAGTTCTACCAAATCTGCAGACTACAAGCTTTGCGACTTACTTAGAAATTACTCTTTAAATGGATGCTCTATTTAAACTTTAATTTAGACTTGCTCTGAGAAATAACATTCACAAAATCACTGGCTTGATGTTTCTGATGAACTTTAAAGCGTGTAACTATTAATTTAGGAATTCTCCCTCTGTGGTCTACCCAATCATACTGCATCTGCAGTGGCGTGCATATCACACTGTGGAAAACCCCTGACCTACGCAACTGGTGATACCACCTCTGTATCCACTCACACCCTGATCAGAACTGTATTTTGACTGTCTTGTGACCTGAGATGAAGTGGACTAATTGACTCACAGCATTGGGTTTTGAGTCATCATATTTCAGCCCAACTCTGCACCTATCCATCTGTCACTCAGTGACCTTGAGCCTCAGTTTACCCACCAGAAAATGGGAATCCATGATCCCTTCCCTGTTCTAGCTCACAGGATTATCATAAGAATAAGAAGAAAAATAAATCAATCGAGATGAGACCTTGGCCGAGCAGATCATTTGAGGTCAAGAATTCGAGATCAGGCCAGGCGCGGTGGCTCAAGCCTGTAATCCCAGCACTTTGGGAGGCCGAGGTGGGCGGATCACGAGGTCAGGAGATCGAGACCATCCTGGCTAACATGGTGAAAACCCGTCTCTACTAAAAATACAAGAAAATTAGCCGGGCGTGGTGGCGGGCGCCTGTAGTCCCAGCTACTCGGGAGGCTGAGGCAGGAGAATGGCGTAAACCCAGGGGGTGGAGCTTGCAGTGAGCCAAGATCGCGCCACTGCACTCCAGCCTGGGACACAGAGCAAGACTCTGTCTCAAAAAAAAAAAAAAGAATTCGAGATCAGCCTGGCCAACACGGAGAAACTCCGTCTCTACTAAAAATATAAAAATTAGCCAGGCATGGTGGTGCATGCCTGTAATCTCAGCTACTCTGGAGCCTGAGGCATGAGAATCACTTGAACCCAAGAGGCAGAGGTTGCAGTGAGCCAAGATCGCACCACTGCACTCCAGCCTGGGCCACAGAGGGAGACTCAATCTCCAAAAAAAAAAGATGAGACTGTGAGTGTAAAAGTGCTTCATAACCTTCAAGTTTCATGCAAATGTTTCACCTAGCCTTGTTTCCATTGTACTCCATGCTCCTTGGAATCATTCTCTTCTCCTTTGGTTTCTTGAAATGTTTTATGTGTTATTCATGACAGCATTTTTACATATATATGTGTATATATATGCACACATATATATGCATATATACATACATATATATATTTGCTTTCCCTACCAGACTCTGAGTTTCCTGAGGCAGTTGGCAGGTTCCACATCCTCCCCTTAACTTTGTATCATCCACTCCTTAGCACCCGCCCATACCCAAGAAACACTTGTCACTGGAACAGGCATTATATTTTGAAAAGCACAAGATGATTAATACATAATGCAAAATAATAATAATAATGATAAACTTAATTGCCACTTTTTGAACAACTTCCAGTTATCAGGTACTGCTCCAAACACTTTAAATTCTTTAATCTAATCTTAACAAAAACCTGGTTTACACAGCAATGTGAATGCATTTTATGCCTAAAAAAGGTTAAAATAGTCAGTTTTATGTTATGTCCACTTTACCGCAAATTTTTTGAAAAATTCATTTAACAGATGAGGAAATTGAGGTTTAAGGAGATGAGGTTACTCATTTAAGGAGACGAGTAACTAATATGCAGCAATATAAACCCCCGGGTCTCTAAAGCTTCAAACCACAGTGCCACCTTCCCCTGGGTCACCAGCATATTTCACTCCACTCTAAGTCAACCTTGCAAGCTGAGCCCCTGTAGGTTTCCATCATTCTCCAAGCTGATTTCCATTTGAGGCTTGGAAAAGAGCAGCATGATTCACATGCCCAGAGACAGCCCAGCCTGAATACCACCGAGGCTCTGTTGTGGTCACAGCCCCTAGAAGCAGCCTATTTTGTAAAAGTCATCCCTGAATGAACGGAATGTCATTGAAAGCAGCTGGTGTACAACCATCCTCAGAAAATGCATTCTCTGGACTCAGACTGCACTTAATTGCCCTGAATTCCACTTTCTTATCAAGGCCCCTGACTTGCTTGCAGGAAGTTGGTTGGAAGCTTTATGAAGCGTGCCCTGTCAATCAGAAGAGGCATGGAATGGCTACACGCAGGAAAACGCATTCTCTTCCCGCCTGGCAGCAGTGCCTGGGGCACCAAATGAGCTTCACGTGCGTGTGAGAGGCACCCACTGCACATGTGCACACTCACGCTGGGAGTTTTCACTCCGAATCTGGGCAGCCTCTTTTGCTCTGTAGCCGTTCTGGAGAAGTGTGTTTATGTTATGGCCCACTCCCATCCTCGCAGACTGATGTTTATCAGCCTCTCCCAGTAAAACTGTCATTGCCACTGACACAAGATTAATAGAAATCCAGATTAGCCTGTGTTCTTGGCACTTCGAAGGGAAAGCAGTATTAATCAACACACACATACACACACACACACACACACACACACACACACACACACAGAGCGTTCTCAAACCTTGAGCCATTGAAACTTAGGCTTCGGCTCTAAGATTTAATGCCATGTGGAACTTATATCAACTATTGATAGGAGGGGAAACGGCCACTGGTTATGAAATCTCTCTGAAGCTTCAGTTTTCTCATCTGTAAAACAGTATTAGGAAGAGTGTCTATCCCTACTGTGCCATGGTGGAGATTAAATGACAAAAGTATGTAAAGTCCTTACAACAGTAATTGGCCCAGAGTTGGAGCTCAATATATATTTGCTTCCCAACTTTAAATCCAGAGAGTTAATTACCTTCATTATACTAGAAGCAGAGTTTACCCCAATGCCAGGGACTCTTGACAGTGAAGAAATACAGACATTTTAGATGCCAAATAATAATGGAATTAAACAACGTTGAATAATAAAATGAAAAATTCATTCCTTTCTGGATTCACCTTCAGTTCTTTGGATTAAGTCAAGGAGAAAGTCTCGGTTGGGCACTGGTGTGTCTTCAGTATCTCTTTAGTATTTATTAAAGAGACCAGGCCTCGGGCCTAGCCTGCAGCAGCAACCAACACGAAGTTGGAACTTCATAATGCTATTTGGTTTCCATTATACTTAGTTTTGAGCTTATCTTCTATTCTTGGTAAGTGATTCTGGTTTTCCACTTAAGGTAATTATTTAGGGCTTCTTTTTCAAATAGACAGAACTTTAAAGAGTGACCTGAACGCAACAAAAATATTAAGTAAAATAGCAGTGAGGATACTGCGGAAAGGTAAAATCCATGAAAAGGATGAAAAACTGAAATTTGAGAAATATTGATTTTAAACATCATAAAACAAAAATAATCGCATCTCAGAATTACTTTGGCCTGAAAGAGCCCTGAGAGATGTTAATCCTGCCCCTCGCTCTAAAAGTGAAGCAGCTGAAGGTTCCAGGGCATAAGAAGTTTTGCTGAAGGTTGCAAAAAAGGGCAGCAAGTACATGAAGGAGCGCATGGATCTTCCCAAGCCGTACAGTTTCTCCAACAGAACATCAGCTGTAAAAGGAGAGGATGACTTTCCAGCGACGAGGCGACTGGGCTGTAGTATTTTGCTGACACACTAGCAAGTAAGCCTTGGAGGAAGGTACCTAGCTGGCATTTTCACTTGTTGTTTTGACTGTTCCCCTGCTCTATACTGGTTCAGAACCACCTTCTGCCCCTGCCCTGTGCTTCAGTTCAGCCTCGATTCTCAAAAGGAGCCGTGGAACTCAAGGCTTGGGTCCTTAATATTTGGAGTTTTTTATTGTTATCAAGCCTTTCCGGAGGTGTTCCCTGCTGCATGAGAATTGGGGTTAGAAAGATAAATGAGGAAGGATTATTCATTCATATTTCAAAACGATTAACCTCACTAAAACACAGATGAACCCTGAAGACGTTATGCTAAGTGAAAAAAGCCAGACACAAAAGGACACATATTATATGATTCCATGTACATGAGGTCCCTAGAGTAGTCGAATTCATAGAGATGGAAAATAGAATGGAGATTGCCAGTGGCTGGGAGGAGGGGGAAAGGGGAGTTACTGTTTAGTGGGGACAGAGTTTCAGCTGGGAAAGGTGAAAACATTTTAGAGATGGATGATGGTAATGCTCATACAACAATATGAGTATACTTAATGCCACTGAACTGTATGCCTAAAACTGGTAAGTTTCATGTTACACATATTTTACCACCATAAAAGGATTAACTCCAGAACACTGTTAATAATGAGCTTATCTGGTGAAAACTCAGTGTCACCTTGCTGACATTAACTGATAGGAAAGGATGCTGATGGCAATGATAATAATTAGTGATGGTCTAACAGTCATCTGCAGTGTTTAAGAGGAAGTGTGGTGCACTCCACAGATCAGATGTTTTGGGGCCAGGAGAACTTGGGGCTAACCATGGCTTTGTCGTTACTAGGTGATGGGTGGGACCTGCCAAGTTACTTGAGTTCCTTATCTGCAAAATGGGACTCAGACTAGAACCCACCTCACATAGGTAAGAAGAGTAGAGAAAATGTATGTAAAGCTCCTAGAACAGTCCTGGGACCAGCTGACGCTATAAATTACAGCCATTATGGTAGACTGATGGTTTGGCCAACCTAACAATTGTTTGTTAGACCAGGCAAACGGGGAACCGAAAGCATTAAAGCCACTGCCCATTAAACAGCCAGGAGATCTTATCACTCATTCATAACAGAGGCATGTCCAGGGTGAGAAGC